TGAATGACACTCACTAATTTTCAGGCTTCACATTAAGAGAGTCCTGCATCAATCATGACATTCAATAAATTGAGAGTCCAGTTGCCCTTTGACAGGTTAGCCTGTTACTATCTGACAAGCTTTGACTATTTTTCCTCAACAGGTAGAACATATTCTGACTTTCATGTTCACCCTTTATGTCTATCATTCTTGCCCTCCATGAGGTTAGAGCCGTTGTTTGTGATGATGACTTGGGTAGCACTGTTGTGCAAACAATAGAGAGAAGATGGTGCCCTATAGTACCTCTGACTCTTGCAAGGGTCTCTTTCAAACTGTTTTGGCCCTTCTAACATCCACACTCAATCCATGTCCTTAGAGAACCAGGCATAAGATGACTCACAGGCAGATGAAGGAGACCCTGAGTGCTCAGGGATAATGGACCTCCTTGCTGTCTGGGAGAATCAGTCTTTGCCATGAAGGAGCTGAACTACAGATCTTGATGATACAGACCTAGGATCTGGAGTCAGATGACTCTTGTCTCTCCTGAATCTCATTGACCCACATCACATCTTGCACCAATGAGTGATGTCCCCTTCCTGCTATACTGATATCTACTGCTGAGCCCGAGTCAGTATCCTCCAGGGCACTGATGTTGAAAGAAGTCCTACTGATTGAGCAGAATAACACTACCCACAGAGCTCCCCTGAGAAGCACCCTCAGACTATCCCCAGGATTTAATGAGTGCTCAGAAATCTCACACATGAGACCAGGAGTGGTCCTGTCATTGGTCAAAATACTCAGGATGGACCATAGCTTGGAAAAATCTTCCCAGGTGTATGAGGTTGACTGAGATGAGGCACAGGTCACCAAAATGCAAATGATGAGTTTCAGAATGACCTAGGAGACCCAAAAATATGGGGTACAGGTGATCTTGAAACAGAACCATTGTCTGGTACTGCAATGCCCTCTCTTGCACAGTAAAGGACATTAGAGAAATCCTTCTTGAAATTCAGGTGACTGCTTTATTCTTTCCTTTCCTACTTCCTTTACTTCATTATTTCTCTCTTTCTTCTGTTACTTGTTTCTTGCCATGTGTATGGTTGTTTTTACTGCATGTATACCAGTGTACCACATGTATGCATGGTACCCAAAGAAATCAGAGGAGAATGTGTATCCACTGAAAATGGAATTACAGGCTGGTTATGAGCTGTCATGTGTGTGCTGGGAACAGAACCTGTGTCCTCTACAAGAGCAAACAGTCCTCTTAACAACTGAGCCATCTCTGCAGAACTCCCAGGTGGATATTTTCAGGAGCATCTCAGGCTGTACAAAGGAGTGAGCAAGAACTTTTGGAACTCTGGCAGGAAGGGTCTGAGTAAGGGACATTGGATGATGAATTTCTCCATATGTGATCATTGTTAATGATACAGAGAATCTAAGGTCAATCACCAAAAGAATTGCTTACCTAAGAATTCTATGAGACATGATGAGAGAGAGACACACACACACACACACACACACACAGAGAGAGAGAGAGAGAGAGAGAGAGAGAGAGAGAGAGAGAGAGGGTGGGGGAAGAGACAGACAGAGAGAGGGGGTGCTAGAATTGTTTGAAATCAGGTTCGCCTTGAGTAGAGAGAGTCCAGTGTCAAATACTGGATCTTTAGGAGGGTACCCAAAAAAGGCCTGTCCTTTCCCTTGCTGAGTAGTGATAGCAGCAGAAAATACTTAATTCCCTTTCCAATAGGTGGGCTATGGAGTAATGGAATTTGACAGAAATATTACAAAGTCGTGTAGTTTAGTACTGGAGTCAAATCTAACACTCCATGTGTTTTCACTTCATAAAATACACATCTCCTCAAGCTGCTGATGGCCAAGAAATGTATCTGTGAAAAACAGCTGCTCCTGCTCCACAAACACATGAGAAAGCCTCCAGGGTGAAGACACCGGATATGTGTTGTACACAGACAGCTTCTCACTGATGGCTTGTGAGAAAGATGTACACTATGTGTTTTCTGTGTCTCATTTCCAGTGATCATTTCCAGGGTGATAAGAGAGCCTCAAATATCAACACAGTCCTGCCACTGGGATAGGACAGCTGTCCAGACCAGCACTATCCAATACCATTTGCCTTCAGGTAAGAATTTGCTAAACTTAATCAATGAGTACATGAAGTCATTAGGAGCACCAATTTCCACTGTCTGGGACTCCCCTTGGGAGTTATCTCTTAGAAGTGTATTCTTCTCTAATGAGAGAAAGAAAAGGAGTGGATCCCCATAGTAGGGGATGTGGGGAGGAAATAGAAAGTGTTGAGATAGGGGAAACTATAAACATTATATAGGTTATGACAAAGGAGCCTATTTTCAATGACAGAGATGCAGTTCATTCTTCAAAGTGAATAATGGGATTGATAACCTTTCATTAGATTGGCATTTGTTTTTAAAAGAGTAACATGACTAACACTAGAAGTGAAATTTGAAATCCTGCTGTCCATTTCTCTGAATACTCAAATTTCCGTGACTGTTCAATAGTGATAGGGGTAGTTGTAGAGAGACTTACATGAAACAGGCAAATACTTAAAGGCCCAGAACATGCAGAGATGGAAGCATGAAGAAACTGATTCCATGAGTAATTCATGAGACAGAATCAATAAAGACGTTTGAGAAAAGTGAACAATTTTAATGATGAAAACAGACAGACTAGGGTAGAAGAGATGCCAGTGCATTAATGGCACATGTGAGAAACCAATGCCAATTCAGTACTCAGTGGGAACACTGGTAGCTTTCCCTGTGAGACCAGGGTTGACACAAGGATGTAGTTATGGACACAAACTTTATTATTCTCTTAGATGTTGTAGAAAGAACAATTAGGCAACAAAATAAATAAAATGTGCCCAATTAATTGCCTATAAAATAGGTCATCAGATGACATGGACTTCTTTCTGAAAAATCCAAAACATTCTACAGAAGTTTCTTGAACTGGTGAATAAACACACCCACCGAGTTCTACTCCAGTCAATGAATAATGCACACATTAGATGTGCTGTGTTCTCACACACATGGAGGAGCTAAGTAGCAAAGAATATTCACAAGGAACCCATGTAATTTCATGGGGAAAGGAAATAGAGGAGATTTTGAGGGTATGCTTGTGGTGGATGGGGATTGGAACATGAAGTAAGAGGTTGGGAAGGAGTGACAGTAGGAAAGAGTACATAGAGAGATGACTGGAATGTTGGGGGCATTTGGGGAGCAATGTGAAAACCTAGTATGGTGAAAATTCCTAGTAATCTACAAGATGTATCCTAGTAAAGACTCCTAGTAATGAGGATACAGAGCCTGAACCAGTTTTCTTCTATAACCACACAAGACTTCTAGCAGATAGACTGGGACACCAATCCATCCTAAAAACATTTGACCTGCAATCTGTCTTTCCTGTAAGCTGTACAGGGGAAATGGTGGAACAGAACTTAAGGTAGGGGCCAACCAATGATAGATCCAACTTAAAGTCCATGGCACAAGAGAGAGGCCACACATGCCTGGATAGAAAGGAACCAGAGGCTGGAAAGCCCAGAAACAATCAAAATGATTGGAAAAAAGTTTCAATGAAATGATTGCTAATGACATTCAGTTATACTAGTAGATCAGTGTCCAGCCTGATTGTCATCAGAGAGATATCATCCAAGAACTGAAGAGAGCAGATGCAGATTCATACAGCCAAACAATTGAAAGAGTCAGGGGAACCCTACAGAAGACGGGGAAGAAGGATTATAGAAAACACAGTGGACGAGGATACCCTGAAAGCATGGAACACAAAAACAATTGAGCAGGGCTTATAAAGGATCATAGCGACTGAAGATAAACTCACAGAGCCTGTAAGGTTTGAGCTAGGGCTTCAGCATATCAGCTATGGTAATTTAGATGGGTATTCTCATGAAACACCTTACAGTCAGAGTGGAGGACATCTCCGACTTATACCTGTGCTTTGGAACAACTTCCAACTGGCTGCCTCTTTGAGCTTTGTTATGCGGGATTATGACAAGTCTAATATAAATTGTAAAGCAGTGTTCTCTGTATATTACTGGGAGGATCTCTTATTTGGAGGGAAATATAAGTGCACGGGATCTGGGATAGAGGGGTGGTGGCAGCTGAGAGGAATCGAGGGAGGGGAAACTGAGGTCAAGATGTCTGGGAGGGGAATAAAAAAGGAAAGAAATGCATATTAGCAGGAAAAAACCTCATGTGCAAGGCGCCAGTGTGAGTGCCACTCAGGATGGGAAACAGTACAATCTGCCCTTACGTAGAGGATTTTACCATGTCTGCCTCAAACAAACTGTGGATCGAGGCTATTTCGAAACCAGCAATGTCCACCGTGAACCGTGGTCAGACCCTCCTCCTGTCATTCTTCCTCACTACACATGGATAAATGGTGTGCATGCAGCATTGGGCTTATGTGAATGAGTTAAAGGGGGAATATATTGGCCCATAAGAGAGGATGGTTTTCTCTATGCAAATACTGAACCATTTTCTCAGCAGATTCAGAGCATCCAAAAGATAACATGTTACTGAAATTAGTTACCATGAATCCTTAAATCAGGCTATATATTCGATCCATAACATGAGTTCTTATTCACTTTTCATTTATGCTTACCATCTTGGTGGCTTTAATTTCCTTTTAAGACAGTCTCACTTTAAATCCCGGCATGGCCCTATACACACATGTATCCCAGGATTATAGGCATGAGTCACCACGCTGGCTGTATCTGAGTGGTAACTGATCATTTTATTCAGATAACTTTTCTCCATTTTGTACCACACTGAAAAAAAAATGCCCCCACTCTGCAGTAGGATGAGAAGAGGTCAGCCCTTCACCACGGCCAGCCTGACTGGGAGACTGGTCTTTGAACTGACTGGGTTGGAGACCTCACACTGATAATCTCCAGCATCCTCGATTCTGACAGGATCTATTCTTAGTACCCGCTTTGTGACAGTCAGTGTCATCCTGTCTGTGAGCTGCAGACTCTGGTTATTGAAGAGCCAATGGAAAGAGTTATCGTCGTGTGGTGAGATGCAGATCAAGGACACAGATTTTTCTACTGCGACTGTAGCGTCACTGATTTCCAGGAAGGGCTGCATCACATGCTCTGTGAAGAAACAAAGGGGGCACCAAATGACGGAAGTCCTTCAGAGCGCTCAACCAGCCCATCCTAAGTTCATACCAAATAAAGATTGCAGGAGATTGGAGCTGTGTCTACACACATATCTTGTGCTTTGGCTCTGCAAGCCAAGGCCTCTGTGATCTTGAGTCAGGTACTGTTTCCTTTGCCTCAAGTTCCATGTACCAGGACACATGGAGCAAAACCATTGCCTTGTCCATGAATTCAGCTTAGTTATGAACATGAGTCTGAAGTTTGGATGGTAGAGCTGCTCACATCAGTAGTATCTGTTACTATTTACCTATGAAAAATGATTCCCTAGGCTGGACCCCTGAGATGACGGAGGAATCTTGAGAAGCTGCCTCCTCATTTTTTGCTCCCTTGGTGCCTTGGCTTTCTTCCTGTGAAGTCTCATAAGCCCATCAGAACAATAGACTAATGGCCAGACACTCGTCCCCTGAACCTCAGGAGGTCACCTACCTAACTACTGCTGTCATGGCAATGCCCAATTGACTCTACACTCTATGGGATCATCAGCCCCATGACTTGAACACTAAATAAAGCCTTGGTCCCTGTTGTCTCAGACAGGAAATCTAAACAAACCTTATCTAAAAGCTCCCGAGTGTCACCAAGAGTCCAGACGGGAGCAGGGTTGTAGAGTATGTGTTTCTTGGCGGTAGCTGTGAGGATCCCATGTCTTATAAAGCCAGAGACTGCTTGGGTACCACAGACTTTCTGGGGATATGTGCATGGTGAGAGCTCCAAAGTGCACTGGGGCTGAAAGGGTGAGACTGAGGTGACCCAACAGGGGTCCTCCTCTCTTCAGGCTAAGACAGGTGAGAGGTTCTGACCTATTGCAGTTTATTTGTCTACTCCATGTTGTTCTCCAATATGTCCAAAAGAACACCATGTACTAGGACAGAGAGCCGGCACAGCCAGGTCGGACAGTTCAGTGTATGAAGTAGGAAAAGTCATTTAACGTTTACATAGAATACCACTTAAGCTTTTTCATTTTGAAATATTCATTGAAAGCTTCTAGGATGTACATTCCAGCATCTTTCTCAGTGACAACCTGGACCACCAGGGATCCGTTACTGCACACCATCCTTACCCTTCAGTTACAGGGCAGCAGGAGGCAGAATTCAAGGCGCTGCTGTATACTACAACCTTTAAGTGCCTGGCTCCTAGAGATTTATTTGTACCAGGAAAAGGCTTGAGACCTTCTGGGAGATTATGAACTTGGAGAAGAATGCTGCCCTTCAGCAGCATAAAGAGTCCCCAAAACCTTGCCTTTTCTTATTCTCCCTTACTGTTTAATGTTACTGTTGCTGAAACTATGACCTGTGTTTTGTCTTCTTTCCTACAAACACTGGGATCTTCTCATGTCCTTGTCCCTCTTTGGGGACTCCAGGTCAAAAGTTCAGCCCTCTCCATTTGAACACAGTCAATTCTTGGTCTCTTTGCCTCTGAACAGGAGCCCCTGAAAGATGATACAACCCTTGCAGATGCGTACAGAGGGCAAGTCCCTAGTCTCTGTAGCCTGATTTGAATTCTGCCACACAGCTCTGCCATTCTTCCCAGGAAGGAGCACCTCCCAGAGCCACCCACCTCCCAGAGCCACCCACCTCCCAGAGCCAGATAGGCTGTGGGTGGGTCTGCTCTGCCCCCTCTACTCCCAGTATCCCTCTCCCAATAGAGACGGGATGTGTCCTTATCTGTCTGTCCCCTAGAACATACAGTGAGAGCCTGTGACATGAGAAAAACGGGAGCTGCCCCGGGAAATCCTTTTTTGCTTTATCTTGGCCTTGGTCTCAAAACACCAACAAGGGAAAAGTCTACAAAGCTGCCTGATACCCAGTCTGCATTGTGTTTTCAACGATCTGCAAACACGGAGTTTGCTCCCACCGGGAAGGTGACAGACATACCTGTGTGGCTTCAAGGGGACCTGATCAGTGGTGTGTGGGGAAGAGAACAAATATATTTTCAATAGAGCCATCAATCATGTTTCTGGCCAAGGTCAAAGGTCCAATATATGTCAGGAGTGTCACAACTCAGTTTGTGGGAGGAGGTAACTTGACTCCTGGGAAAAGGCTGTGAGAGCTCCTTTGTCCCAGGCAAGATTTTGAAACCATGCTTATGCTTCCTCTGTTTGCTGAGCTGAGTAATGGGTCTTCCCATGTGCTCTACGGTCTTTCTGAGATATCTTGGACATCTATATAATTAGCTTCCCTTGGGTATCATGTAATTCCCAAGGACACACATAAAAGCAGAGGAGAACATTCCCCTCTAGGCGTGTACCACACACATTAAGAAGCCAGTAGTTCTGATACCACTGACTCCGTGATTTCTGGGGTCTGTAAAAACAGATGAGGAACCAGGCTCCCAGGTAAGTTTCCAGTTCAGGCACATACTTTTCTGCCAGTTCATTGCTTGTCCTAAAGATATCCCTGGGGATCTATGGAAGAACCACAGCTCATGTTTGACAGATGTCCAGATCACCATAGCCTCTAGCCATTTCCCTACAGAAGAGGATTCCCTGAGCTGGACCCAGAGGACACTTGTCAGGAGGACATGTGTCCCCTCAACCTGTCCTTACTTTCTCTGGCCTTCCTGTAAATTGTCATAAGCCCATCAGAACATACATGTAATGAACTGAGCACCTATCATGATTAGCTCTCCCTGATTAGTCTGTGAAGATGTACAGGGTACCTAGACTAACCATACAGCTCATGACTTTTATTTGGCTGGTTCCAAAGATGAAAGACTTGGACTAGAAAAAGACACTGATTCCTCCTTCAGGAAGTCAAAATCCAAACGTTATAAACTGATTCTCAAAGCCAACTGTAGTTGATTCTGGGACAGAGGTATCTTGTTACTCAGATCAATGTGAGGATCCCCAATTCTCCTCCAAAAGGTCAAATATTGATTTAGTTTTGGATCTTTCTCAAGGACACACTCCTGGTAAGAAGCCCAAGAGTCTAGATAGAGGCTGATATCCTTGGCTGAGTTACCCATTATCTATCGAGCTGTCTGCAAAACGAAATCAAATGAAGAATTCTAAACTATTGCCATTATTCTAAACCATGAGTGCCCTGCATTGGACTGACACCCCAAAATAAAAGTGCAATGCACAGGGGAGGAAGGCACAGGCCATTATACTGTGAGGGTCCGATGGAATGCACCCGGAATTCACAAAGGATCACTTACTGTGCACATGAAGGTTCATGATTGTTGTTGACACGATATCTCCATGTCTATTTATGGTTCTCAGGGTATAGCGTCCTGTGTCCTTCATCGTGACATTTCTGAGCAACAGAGATCCATTGCGGTACACTGTCTCTCTACCACTATGTATAGGCCCTGGAGCACTAAAATCTTGCTTCAGATCATAGATTGCAATTACATTTTCTGTAATTTTCAGCCCCCTGAACCAGACTGAGGCTATAAGATTCTCTGGCAGATTGTGGACAAGAAAAAGGACGTTTTCCCCTTCGACCACTTGGGGTGGGACAGATTCAATGGTGACCTGTGCAGTGCTGGTGGAGAAGTGCCAGCATGCTAAAAGAGAGGCTAGAAGGAAACAGAAAAAAAAGAATCAATCAAGGTTGAACAGGGGTGATCATCACTAAGCTTATATGTGGGAGTACCAGTGTGCCCGCCCAACTTGGTAGACATGAGCTTCATGACTTCCATTCACTCAAAGCCGCTGACTGTGTCATTAACTGTTTCAGGAATACTCTGCTCAGGCGTCTGCCTGGCTCCCCCAACAGTGTCCCTTTATCCCTTCTCACATAGAGAATTTGGTGTGAGGCGCACTCTCCCTCTGAACCCCTTCTCTGGGGAGGCCTCACTGTCTGACCTTTTCTCTGCCACATTTGTAATTCAAAAGCAAACCATGATTGCATCTTGCAGATACCCTGACATCAGTTCAACAAGAGTCAGAGGTTATATGGACAGAATTTAGTGTGACTGTATTGGGAAGTTAAGCTCTAGGAAAAGATTCAGATAAAAGTAGATAAAACAAAAAGATAAGGAAGAAAGGAAGGAAGCAAAGGAAATACCCCATGGGATTAATTACACTGTTGTCAATTTGGAGTTAATGACAATAATTGTATTCAAGCATGACTTCATTTTTTTTTCATTTACTCATATGTTGTACTGTATAGGTCTGAGGCAGGTGTGTGCATTTGTCCATGTGAAGGGTATGTCACATATTCGTGTGAAGGAAGATGGCTCAGTTTGAGAAAGTGCAGGTGCATGCCACAGCACCTGAAGGGACACAAGAATCTCAGTACTCTCCTGGATGTGTGCACACCACAGAACCTGGCTGGAGGACAGAGAATAACCTGCAGGAGTCTCTTCTCTCCATCTACCATGAGGGAGCAGAATTCTGAATTCAGGTTGTCATGTCTCCACATACTGAGCCATCTCAGTGGCCCAGCCATTTCTATTTGGAGGTTCTTACTGTCATAGTTAAGAACATCAGACTTCAGAACATGGCAGCTAATTTTTTAAATATAAATATGGAGTGTTTGAGGCTCTTCTCTTCCTCTCATCACCTCCTGTCCTCTGAGAGCTTCAGGATGCTGAGCCTCCGTCCCTCAAAGTACCTGCTGCCCCAGGACTGCAAACAGAAACCTCAAGATTCCTCTCAGATTCCTGCCCTTTTAAGGAGATTCCAGCCTGCCTCCAAGTCCCTCTCCACCCTTACAGTCAGAGAGTGAGTACAAATACCTGTGAAGAGAAGCCTTTGCCAGGGAGTGCACCCATTGCAGAGAAGCACAGAGGGCATAGCCATCTCTCTTCACCTCGATGTCCTTCCTTTGAGAAGAAGAAAGTCAGCTCCAGCAAGATGCCCAGATGCTGAAGTTTTCTCTCCTATGAACTGAGTTTCCTTTCAGTCAGGACCACTTCCCGGAACCCAATGGGCTGGTGGTGGTAGGTCCTGTGTCCAAGGCACAGCTCAATCCTTTCAACTCTAGTGCTTCCCACCACACAATTCAACTTCCCTTTATGTTTCTCCTCCAAGCAGTACATTGGACACCAAGGCTGATAAGCATCTTCATGCCCTAGAGAACAATGGCTCATCACAGGGCTGACATCTGACAGGTCTTGCCTTAGGTCCATCAGCACGAGTGGGAGCTGTCAACAAGCCTATGTGTTCTTGTGACACAGAGATCCAACTGAGCCCCCTCCCTACCCTGGGTACTCAATGGGCACTTTTGTAATTCACTGTGGAAAGTGGCAGAGATGTCTCTGGAGGCTGGGAAGAGACCAGCTGAGTGATGACTAGGAATGAAGATCAATCTTTTATCACTAATGTAACCAGTCAAAGTTCTGTCCTAGGAGAGAGGACCAGGAGCAGTTCCATTAGGAGTTTCATATTCTTAGTGTTGTGGAGCAGATAAGCAATTGTCCTTGAAAGGACTGTGGGCTCCATCTTACTAGGGAGGGTTTCAAGTCAGTAATCAAGCATTATGTATTGCCTAACTGTGTTGGTTGAGCACATGTCCTCTCTGATATTCGAGTGTCATCTTTTCCCTTTTGCCTAGCTGATTCCCTGGTGGCAATATTGTCTTCCCCTATGAGAGATGCCAGGAGGCACAGGACATTTGGGTTCCCCATGTAGAAAGATCTTCTCAGACAAATGAGTAGCCAGTAGGTCTAAGCAGAGTCTAGGTAGGGTCATCTGGTTAGTAGAGACAGGAATGGAAACAAGCAAATAGGGAAGGTCATGCCTGGCTCAGGTAAACAATTTTATGACAGTGAAGGTGTGTCCTGACATCAACCCATGTATATAACTGGGATAACTGCAATCTTATGTCCAGAGCTACATCATGCATGGTCCAAAGGTCAATTGTGACCTGCCCTGAACCCTAAAATCATAGGAGATACAGGGTATGTCATTGTGTTCTCTGTGCTCTCCTGCATTCCAAACACCACCTAGTATAGAGTGGGTCAGGTTCGATACTTTTCCTGGGAATACCTGGACTATAGTTGGAATCAATCTTTAACCAGAGGACAGGCATCCTCAGGAGGAGTCTTTTGGTCAGTAACAGTCATAGGAAAGCCCTAGGACACATAAGAGGATGCATCCAGACATGGTTCCCCATGTCTGAAATTGTAGCACTTGGGAGGTAGAAACAGGTAGATCTATGTGATTTAAAGGCTATCCTAGTCTACAGAGTATGTTCCAGGAGAGGCAGGTGCTGAGAGATTCTGTTCATGAGTACAGTGAACAGTGATTCAAATGATTGTCATCTGCTCTTCTCTATACCATAATCTATACTTCTCTCATTCTGATTGAAAAACATGACTTGAGCAAAAAGAAAGGCTTAGTAGAGACTAAGTGTGCATTTCCTTTTGGGGCTGTGTCATACTGTAGCACTGAAGGAAGTCAAGGAAGAAAACATGATGTTCACTGGACCATTCCCTGGCTCACTCTCAGACCCATGCTTAGCCAGTTTCTTATACAACCAACACCATCTGCCTAGGGACGGTATTGCACACAGTGGCCTGAGCCGGCATCCATTAATTAAGACAGGCCCTTACAGACATGTACAGCCTGACCTGATGAAGGTAGTTACTTTGTTGAGACTCTTTTTTACCCCGGTGATATTGGAGTTTGTCAAAATAACAGCTAGCAATAACTAGAACAGTTTCAAACTGCTACAACATCTTCCTCCACTAAGAAATTTCAAAGGAAGCTCCCCATTCTCCAAGTGGGTGCCCCTCTTTGTTTGCTGTGCTCATCAAAGTCCAGGTGTCCACTAACCCACACAGCTAGACCCTGAGAGCCAGGGCACTGCTCAAAGACATGTGACTTGGGATTCACTTTTCATACTTTCTAGTTCTTGAGCTCAGGGACACTGTGATGTCCACCACAGACATTGGGAAGAGTAAGTGAAACAATTAGTCCATTAGTTTCATCCAGTCATTAGTTGTTCACTCCCAGTTTCTGTGACAACTTTACATAGCATGTCTTGTAGAAAGGACAAATTGCAGTTTATAGATTGACGGTCTGTGTTGGTGTGCCAGCCCCTCGACTGAAAGTCTTGTGAGGATACAGGAGATGGCTTCTTCAGGCCCCCAATGTTAAGAGTTTTAGTAAGAATCACCTCCCTAGATTCTGGGGAGTTTTCATTACACTGTGTTTCTCACTCCTCCCAGAGGTGCCGCCGCCAGACTCCATTTGTCTCCCCGAGTAATCTCCATGCATCCTTCCTCACCCTGAGTCCTCCAGTTCCAAATTCGCCACCCCCTCCATCACCAGTCCCCTTCCACCTGCAATGTCTATTTCCAATTCACAATGTGGCCTTGTTGTTGTATGTATGCTGTTGGTGGAGAAATTGTGTTATTGTGGAGGTGGGATTTGAGGTCTCACATATGCTCAAGCCATGAACAATGAGAAGGATGATTTCCTGTTTCTTCTACCTCAAAATCAAAGCACTCCCAGCTCCTACTCCAGCACCATAATGAAACCACCTTGCACTGTGATAATAATCAACTAAATCACTGAAAATGTAAGACACCAAATTAAATGTGTTTTTTTCATTATAAGAGTTGCCATGCTCAGGGTATCTAATCACAAAACAATAAAAAAAAAACTAGTTAACACAAGAATGTCCCTTGTATCCCTGATCTCATCATGACTTTTATCATGAAAGAGTGTTGGACTTTGTCAAAAGTTTTTTCAGCATTTAATAAATGGATTGTTTGGATTATTTTTAGTTTGCTTATATGAGAGATTACATTGACAGATTTTGTATGTTGAACCATCCTTGGATCTCTGGGAAGAAGATCACTAGCTCACGGTGGACAATCTTTTTTATGTGTTCTTGGATATGGTTTGCAGCTATTTTTAAGTATTTTTTCAATTAATTACTATGAAGAAAATTGGTCTGCAATTCTCTTTCTTTGTTGAGTCTTTGTATGGTTTGGGTATCAGGCTGACTGTGCCAATGTCCCTTACATTTCTATTTTATGGAATAATTTGAGGAGCATTTGTCTTATCTCTTCTTTAAAAGTTTGGTAAAATCTGGCTCTGGGCATTTTTGTGGGTTAGGAGAATTTTAATGACTGCTTATATTCCTGGGGAGTTATAGGCATATTCAAATTGTTTACCTGATGAATATTGATTTAACTTTGTAACAGGTATCTATCAAGATTTTTTTTTCTGTTTTGGAGTACTAGTTTTTGAAATGTAACCTAAAGATTCTTTATATTTCCTCAGTGTCTGTTTTTTCCCTTTTTGATTCTGAATTTGTTAATTTGGATACTCTGTCCCTGCATTTTACTTACTTTGTATACAATATAGGGGCCTTCCAAAGAAACACACCCTGACACTGAAATCTGAGTCAAAAAACACAATCTGACCCTGAAATCAGAGACAAAGAAATACACCTCGGCACTGAAATCAGAGACAAAGAAACAACACACTATGGCGGTGACCAGCTCAGCATGTACACCAACTAATTCCTAAGCAGGAACATCAACCATTCCCTGGGCAATTATCAGCCAATCTCTGAGTTTGTCCAACTCCAGTGATAGAAATCTGACCAATCTCCTCCACACTGAAAATTTCACCCGGAATAAACCCCACAACTAGGAAAACCCACATAAAGCCTTTAACTAACTGTTCAGTTTAGAGCTGCCCTTTTCCACGCTGGCAGAGCCAGCTCCTGCCTGGTTTCCTCCCTCCCAGTAAATCTCTTGTATGAGGTTTGGGTAATGACTTTCTTTCACCCAAGAAGAATGGAATGGAGAAATAACAAATGTTGATGCAGAAGACCAGAGCTGTAAAGTTTTTCACCAGCTAGCAGCAGAAGTGCAATATCACAGGGAGGAAACACCCTTAGCAGAGCAGAGCAGAGCTGTAACAGCTCTCACCGGAGAGGACCACACTGCTACATTGTAGCAGGGAAGTCGTTCCCACACTGTAACAGAGTGATAGGTATTTCCTAGCTCGCAACGGCCAGGATTTCTTTCTCTACAGACCTGTAAATACAGACTGATTTCTGATGGCCCAGACGCCATTCCCTTCAGAGCATTTAGAGTCTCCTGTTGAGAAACTGGTTGTGATTCTAATATGTTACTTGGTCTTACAGGCTTTCACCTTTTAATTTTCTTTCTTGTTCTCTATGCTTAGTGTTTTGATTACTATGTGACTTGGGGACTTTGCTTTCTGGTACAATCTAGTAGGTGTTCTGTAAGTTTCTTCTACCTTCATAGGCATGTCCCTTCTCAGTTAAGAAAAATTTTCTTCTGTGATTTGTTGAGTGCATATTCTGGGTTTTAAAGATGTTATTCATCTCCTTCTATGCCTTTTATTTTTAATGTAAATCTTATCATATGTCCCCAATTTCCCAGAAGTTTCATGTTACATTTTTAGATTTAACGTTTTCATTCGGCAATGAATCTATTTCTTCTATCATTTTAACAAGGTTGAGATTCTCTCTTCCTTATCTTCTATTCTGTTGTGGTGAAGCGTAAGTGTACAGTTCCTATTTGCTCACTCTGCTTTTCCCTTTCCAGATTTCCCTCAGTTCCTGTTTTCTTTATTGCCTCTAAGTTAATTTTCTGGTGTGGATATTTCACTTCACATGGTTGTTTGTTTTGTATTGACTGTCTTGGCGTTCATTAAGGTATTTTCATATTGCCTACAATTGTGAATGTCATTTCCTTGGTGTATTTAAGGGCATATTTCATTACCACTTTAGGATATCTACTGTTTTCTTTTTCATTCTTTAATTACTACTCATATTTACATATCCACCCTATTAATTTCTTAAAGATGGT